TGATTCCTTGTGATCTATTCTGTTGGTTTCTGAAGAACATTAAATTTGGATCTGTTTTCAGAGATTAACAAGACTTTATTAATATTTGATGTTAACATTTATGATATTTTTATTTAGCAAGGATGTATTAAATTTGGTCAAATGGGACAGTAAAGACATTCATAATGTAATAAGATTTCAACATTGATCATAATAATGAATTAAGAGAATATATTAGAATGATTTCTGAAGGATCATGTGACACTGGATGAAAAATGCTGAAAATTCAGCTTCGCATCACAGAAATAAATGACATTTTAAAATATATTCAAATAAAAAACAGCTACAAACAATATTTTTGATATTTGACTTTTATTTCCCTGTTTTCTTTTTCTTGTAATATGAAAGCTTTATTCTCTGACACAGGTGTTGAAATATTGCTGCACATCTCCACGAACAATAGAAGTGCTCTTCAACGCCTATGACCGGCTCAAAATCACGGACGCCTGGGTAGAAGCGGTTCCTCCCGAAGTGTTTCAGGTCAGATGATGACTTTTTTCAATGTTTTCTTAAATATAATGTATTGAATGTTTAACTGAATGTTTTTTAAAGCAGTCACTCATCTCAAAATAATCTCCGTACAATATCAGATCATATGAATTCAGTATCTTGTTTCGTCACAGAAACACCGGGAGTTCTACGAATCCCTGTTTGCGCTGAGCCAAACTCCTCGAAGTCTCCAGCACCTGGCCCGCCACAGACTCCGGACGTTTCTGGAGGGTCGCTTGCACCGGGTGCTGCCTCAACTGGGTCTGCCAACCTTTCTAATAAATTATATAATGCTGGCATTCAAAGACTATATGCACTGAGAGACCACAAACCTGAGAACACACAAGCACGCACACAACCATCCATCGAGTCATTGAGTTTTGTTTAATTCCTTGTGATTCTGAATGATAGAAAAATTGTCCTGTCTTTACCAAGTTTTTTGTTTAAAGTCGGCATTAAGCGGAAGTTGCAATAGTTTTTTACCCTATTGTGACATGATGAATGTGATTTCACCGTGCAACACTGGATCAACATTTCAATCCACCAATCAGATTTGAAGTTTACAGGCTAGGTGCTTCTACATCAGTTTTACATTTCCCCCTGATTTTAGGGTTAACTTGTGGGTAGGGTTAGGATTACATTTCCAGAGAGTACTGTTGTAACGTCTTACCTGGTGAAATCATGTGACCATATATCCGAGTGAAGTGTCTTCTTGATTACCGTATGTACATGGGGAAATCATTGGATGGTTATGGTTTGCTATTGGTCGATCTCATGTGAGTGACAGGTTGTCCCGCCCTCGCGCCAGTAAACACATCATCAGGGAAGAGAAGAGACATCGCTGCAAGAGGGAGGGGAAGTTATATTGATTAAAGATTATAAGGGCACATTAGTTTAAAAATAAAAGAATTATGTTCCATATAACATATAGGAAAAACAAGAATTGCCTATTTGGTTTAATGATGAATTTAAAATGTGTTTTACTTACTGATATATATTTTAAAGCATTAAAAGAAAGGGAAAAAAAGATTAAAGTGTTTCATGAAGAACAAAACAGGAGGTGTATGCAGAAGGTCAGTACATAAAGTTCATGCAGTGAAGCACTTTCACCATTTCATTAGCTTCCACAGTGGGGCGCCATAGAGCTCTGATGGAATCTGAACTCTTCAAAGTAGGAATTCATGCGAAATTGAGTTTCTGAAAATATTCAAAACCATTCTTTATGCTTTAATGTTTTAATTTTCTTGTAAAACAAACTTTAAAAATTGTATCTATATTTATGTAATTCATTTTAGCTGCTTTTCTTATTTTATTTCTTATTAATGCTAAAAATACAACCATTGGGTTTAAAAAGTAATAAAAAAATTAAACCAACCCAATTGACACAACCCATCTTTTTTAATTAGCAAAAATTGATTGACATTTATGTTTATTTTTAGAGAGCTAGGTTCTATTATTCTATTCTATTCTATTCTATCAACTTAACTATTTTCTAAACTATCATGTCTAATTAAGGCTTCACTTACAATACAATACTGTATCATTATGGTACACGATGGTACATGATTCTTATTTGATATCGTTATCCTATCCAGTGATTTCATCTTCATTGATCTATCATCTCAGAGGAATGATATGGAAATTTTGCTGTAACATTACAATTCTCTATGTAGATGAAAACTATTGTAAACACGATTTTTTTAAATGTTAAGTACCACGTCAGGTTTTTAATTGTTTTTTTACTTGTTGTTATCCGATCTGAAAGATGAGTGACACAGGTTCATCCAGCCACATGTGGCTTTTCCTTCAGAGGAGCATTATGGAGATGAGTTGTGTGGAAGTATTATGTGATTATGTTATGGAGAGGCATGCATGCGCTTGAATGATAAACAGCAAGTAAAGGCAGAGCGCAGAATGATTGGGGACAATGTAAGGGTCTCATAATGATCCTGTCACCTTGACTCTATAAAAAACACTAGCAACAATGCAATGTACATTTGTTTGTGAATAATAATGCTTATTATACTACAATTTTATAAATTATTATAAAGTATCAGAATACAGTGGGACACTTTATGATAATTTAGTGATGTTTAAAAAATATATGATCCAAATGTGACCCTATATTAGATTAGGATGAAGTTTACCAATTGTCCACCTTGGCCTGTATCCAATACTGTACATAGATCATAAATTATTTGGATATAATTGCGTGTCAGATAATAAAGCCTTGTTGGTTTGCTCTTTTTTCTTCATGTAAAGAACAAAGGTGCAAAGCAATTGTCTATGAACAGATCTTTGATAAAAGTCTTATATACGATGACCAAGAGGAGGAGGAGGGGGGCTCTGATTGTGTCCCATTCAGGAGCGTGAGAGAGAGTGAGAGAGAGAGGGAGAGAGAGAGAGAGAGAGAGAGAGAGAACGCTGTCTGGTTTCAATAGATCAAAGAGCACTGCTCCTGAATGGAGTCATTTGCAATTATAAGAATAATTAGCATCTGTGGGTCCTCCATCGCTAATCAGAGTCGGAGGTGATGTGTTTATGTCCTCGCGCAATCAGACGGCCAGTTGGAGAGCTCGCGCCCCGCAGGACTCAATAGCGCCTAATCATCATCAGAAGTGAATTGGCATTTAAACGGTAAAATGATCTCCGATTAAATTAATGCTTAGCGGGGAAAGAGAAACCGCTCAGAGGTTGCAATTTTAGACCCCTTTTCTTTGTTTTTTCTTTTATTTATTTTTTCTCTTAAAATCTAAATTATATTCTCAACTAAGTAAAGTATATGATTCGTTTTCTCTTAAAGTCTTTTCCTTCTTAATTTTCTTTAGCCTACATATTGCCCAAATTATCTGTATGATTAATCAAGGACCTTTCCTCTGAATATCTGTGGAGATAGATAGACCATGACACTTTTTTGTCTGGCTCTATTTAAACACATCACAATGGATTAGCCTACGTGAATGCACATGATTAATATTTTCAATTTATGAACGATCATTTTTATGGTCTTTTTTTAAGTAGATGACCTAACTGTCCGGAGATTATAAAAAAGAGAAATGTCTCTTTGAAAGGCTGAAAATCTTGGATAAAAACCACAGAACCCTTTAGACCCTAATGGCTGTGCCAAGTGTAAAAATAGTAAGTTAGGCCTAGGCTATATAGCCTATATATAGGCATATATATATTTATAGTTTTTACTTTAAAAAATAAACAAAAAGGCAGGTTTGTTCAGGTCAAACGAAGAAATTAAAGTAATTTGTTATCCATGACAAGGCCAAGCTTTTTAAGGGAATTTTTGTCAGTAGCCTAATTTTCGGTTTAATCTGTTGAGATCGTTTCACGTAACCCAATTGTCGTTTCGCCGCCCTTAACTAGGCCTATCGTAAGCCATCTAAACAAAACTTTTTGTGATATACTTTCGATATTTTAATATAGAATAAATAATGATAAATAATGACAGTTGGCCTACTTGTGTTTTGTGGAAGTTCCGCCCGGATCCCAACGGAAAGCACTCGCGCCGCCTGCTGTTGCTATGGCTACCCCTCAGGCGAACAACCACGATTTCTTTTCGCTAGCATGTAGCTTACATTTAGCGAACTTATCTAACTTTTGGTGACTGGAAGTTATTTGAAAACGCTTTTGATTTTTTTTTAATTTATTTATTTAACATTTCCACAAAAATGCCTACACTCTAAAATACGTTGGGTTGTTTCAACCCACGTATGGGTCAAATATGGATGAACCCAAGCGTAAATTGGTTTACATTTTATTTTAAATATATATGGTTTGAATTAAAAATTTAACCCAATGGTTGTGATTGTCAATATTTGATCCAAACATTTTAAAAAAATCTTCAAGAAATTGCTTAATTGTATCATCTAAAATCCATTTTTTTTGGCCAATAGATAATTATAAAACAAAATCTTGTAATACTTCCTATTTTATCAGCATAGTGTTCACACAGATCTCTACATTCAAACGTCATTTCATCAGTAAAATCTCTCTCTTGGGGATAATTGTCGGCCAGATTCACTCTTTCTCCGAACAGAAAAGAAAAGACTCTCACTCACAAGAGGGCCGAAACATCTGCCTCTCCGCCCTCACGACTCCGATGCCATCGGCCTCTAAAAGAATCAACAAAAGAACCGTTGTTATATATCTTCCCTTGAATACAAAGTAATTACTTATCATCAATCAAAATTAATAATAGTTGATTGGGTTGGTGTGGTCAACGCAGTCCCCTCACATTCGCTTTCCATGAGGAGGGGACTTGACCCACTGGGAAACTACTCCCCCCTCTCTAGGCGGCCTAAAAAGTCAGGGACTGAATAAGGAAATGAAGCGTAATTTGAGGAAGATGGATGAGTCTCCAGGGCAACACCCCCTTCTATCCTCTTGTATTGATGATAACCGAGAGAAAGAGAGGGAGAGAGAGAGAGGGTGCGAGAGCGCGCGCGCGAGAGTGTGTGTGTGTGTGTGTTTATGTCTCAGTATGTGACAAATAGAGGCTGAGACACTCAGAGCTCCAGACAAAAAAACGCATCAGGTCCCAGTCAGTTGGACGGCGAGGACCCTACAGCACCATCAGGATAACTGTGGACCACATTTGGGTGATTTGTCTCAGAAGGCCAGTGCACGGGATTTATACGACCAGACCGCGCTCAGTTCACCATGCAGAGACCGAGCGGTACGGGCACGGCGTTTTCCATTGATTCTTTGATTGGCACTCCACAGCCCCGGCCGGGCCACCTGCTCTACACGGGCTACCCGATGTTTATGCCGTACCGACCGCTTATGATTCCACAAGCCCTGTCTCATTCGTCATTACCGTCGGGTATCCCTCCCTTGGCACCGTTGGCATCGTTCGCGGGGCGTCTCACCAACACTTTTTGCGCAGGTTTGGGTCAGGGGATGCCCTCCATGGTGGCGCTCACCACCACCCTGCCTAGTTTCTCGGACCCTCCAGATAGTTTCTATCCCCCGCAGGAGATGCCGGGACCCCGGTTAGGCGCGGACGGGACGGGGATGAACCGGCAGGAGAGCCCGCATGACGAGCTCAAGGGCTCCGAACTCCTCAATTTCACGGAAACTTTTCAGGCGGTTGCAGGTGAGCACCGGAGACAAACTCACTGACAGCTGGATTCAAAAGTTCTAACCGCCTTTATTCAAAATAAAAGTTCTGATAAGAACCTAAAGGGTTCTACAGTCTGATGCCAAAAGTTCTAAAACAAACTTTTATCCTCTACCCTAGTTCTTTAGAAAATACTGCTGAGTTTTATAACAAACCAATATGCTAAATAAAATAACTTTATTTAACCTCAAAATATAAGATGCATGAGATGCTCTTTTGGTGAAAAAATGGGTTAAAATGAACTTTTTTTTCTAATAGCGTGGAACTTCATTAAAAACTTTCTTTAGTTTCATTAACAAGCAATTAAAACTTGCTGTAGCCTACATTAAAACAGTCAGAAATGTCATGAAACGTCATGTATTTTTTATGATATTACATTTTTGGTAGCTTTTGAATCAAAATGCACCTATAGCTATGTGGTTTAAAACTGTCGTTTTTGTGGCTGCCGTGTTTTAGACATTTTATAATATAGGCCTACTGTTCTAACGGACCTTAAAATTATTGAAATAAATATCAACAGATTTTAGCTTGAAACTTCCATTGTCGTTTGATTTGAAGTCAGGTGGCACAGGCCTCCGCCACAGGAGTTTCGAAACAATTAGCCTATAATTATAGGCTATGCGTTTAGGGATATTTTCAAATAGGCTAGTTTGCAAAATTTGATATTTTAAAGTTGGAGTTTGAGCAGACTGGATCACAAAGCAAACGATACGAACAAAATAGCAATTGCTGTGAAGTTTCAGCACTGTTTATTTTACTTCATCGTTATGTTATAAAAATATCATTTTCCCCATTCAAATTGTTCCAATACTGTCATTTCTATTCGAGATTTTGAGTTTATACACACTTTCTTAAACATAAAAAAAGTGTAACGAATTTACAGATTAAATTTGCTTTTAAATTTGTAATGCATAAACTAAAGTCATTGGTTCGAATATGTGGACAGGCCTTGACGGAATTTTATTATTGTTGGATTTTAATATGTTTCAGGATATTTATTAAATAATATCTACAATTAAAGTTTTAAATGGAGCATGTTACACCATAAAGCAAATAATTAACAATTACTCTAATGTTTTAGAGCAATATTTTCCTCATGTTAAAGAATTAATTTCTACACTCTTAAAAATAAAGGTTCTACACATTGATATCGCAGTGATGCCAGAACCATTTTTGGTTCCAAAAAGAACCTTTCAGCGAACAGATCTTAATAGAGACATGTTTTAAATTTATTTTAATAACCTTTTATGGAACGCAAACGTTCCAAGGATGTTAAAGTTTCTTTATGGAACCCTCAATGCCAATAACGACCATTTATTTTAACCTCGATTTTCTTGATCAGTAATCAATTCGAGGTTGTCAAAATTACTTTTTACTGTACTTCGTCACTTTGCCACCACTTGTAATGCATTTATTAAGTTTCAATTGGGTTTAAATGTTTTAGCCTACATGCATAAACACTACATTTGTCCCTTGACCGGAATATTTGTAATGCTCAATAATTGTCCTTCTGTTCAGGCGAAACCAAACTGTACAGTTCCGACGACGAGAAGCTGGACCTGAAGTCCGCGGAGGCCGCGTGCAGTGACCGGGAGGACAGCTCGGCCGACAGCGAGAACGAGAGCTTCTCCGACGGGAACACCTGCGCTTCAGCGGCCCAGAAAAGCAAACTGAAAGGCGGCTCACAGGACGCGTTACCGCCGGGCGGCTCTGCGGGAAAGAGCCGGAGGAGACGGACTGCTTTCACTAGCGAACAGCTCCTGGAACTCGAGAAGGAGTTTCACTGTAAGAAGTATCTGTCCCTCACCGAGCGCTCTCAGATCGCGCACGCGCTCAAACTCAGCGAGGTCCAGGTCAAAATCTGGTTCCAGAACCGCAGGGCCAAATGGAAACGGATCAAAGCCGGGAACGTCAACAACAGATCCGGGGAGCCCGTCCGGAACCCCAAAATCGTGGTGCCCATCCCCGTGCACGTCAACAGGTTCGCGGTTCGGAGTCAGCACCAACAGATCGAGCCGGGCAGCAGGCCATGAACTCCTCAATCAAAGTGACCCTGAACTCCTCAAACGAACATTTACTACACGAGCCACAGTCACACAGGTCAGGGGTCACGCAGTACAGATGCATGAAGCACACCTAAAAGGAGACCTTTCCAGTATCTAAGGATATCCAGTGACGTTTTAGGTAACACTTTGTTCACTCAAACTCGAGGCCTATACAATGCTTAACGGATCATCGGTTTAATACATATGACTTAAAGTTTATAATATTTGAATGTATTGACACATGACCTGTTAAGCATTATATTATAAATATTTGAAACTTATTAAGGTATTGTCGACTTTTCAACGTCGACACTGTTCATTTCCTTCTCTTCCCTAAAATTTCTTTATTTTTAATTTATTATTTTGTACATTTGTAAATATTAAATGTGTCCGTGCGACACACTTGTGCACTATACGAGACTGTAAAGAGACGTTTTTTTAAAAAATAAGTATTTATAAGTTGCTGTCTAGTGAATTTTTGCATGTGTTGCCATTTGTTGTCTGATTTTAACGGGCCGTTTCAGTTTTTGCATGTGCTCTTAAAGGCATTTCTGTCCTAGAGGCGGAATATCCCCCAGTTCTTTGTGAGAAAAAAAAAGATGATGGAAATAAATAAGCTCAAGAACACAATGGCAGAGTGATATACTTACATCGACGTCACAATAAATATGGTGCAACATGGTTGCATACAATTGGGAGAAAATGTATTCAGTGTGTACGTTTATTCTTTTTAAATAGTGTCTTAGTGGTTGTCATCTGTGCAAACGAATTAATTAATTATTGATCAACTCACTGATATATATATATATATATATATATATATATATATATATATATATATATATATATAGGCTATATATATATATATATATATACCAAACATTAGCATGCAATTATAAAGTGTAATTAATAATACAAAACAATATGGTTTGATTTACTAAACTATATGATGATAATGATAATTAAATTGATTATTTATATGTTATATGTTGAATCTTTTTAATTTCAAGATAGGCTATTACAAATTACAGGAAATGTTAATCTTGAATGCACAGCTCATAACTAAAATCTTAAATTCCTTTGAAACAGTTTTTGACTTTTAAAGGTGTCTTTGATCTTCTGTGTTAAAAAATGAACATGGATTTTTATTTTTTCTGAAGTAGGAATCATTGTGAATTTCCCTTTAAATCAGAATTATTGTTCTGGACCATTCCTTTGCTGTTCTGAAAACAAACCAAACATGCAATATCCAGAGATCTAAGTTTTAATTTAACATGCAATTATGCCAATATTACATATGACTTTGACATGAAACATTAACTTTGCCATTTAGCCTTTGCACAGATGCATTTGATTTAGTGAAAACATACTATTTATCCAAACCATACGACTATACGAAACAAACATAATATGAAAGATTCTCAGTTCTCAGGCTCTTCATGAACTGCAAGACAACCTTATGTACTTCTAGCTTACTAAAAGTCTCACAATGTCCTTCTTCCCTGAAAAGTATGTCCTAATTGTGAAAGAGACGGACCGACACTGACCCACAGCAGCAGACAACAATCGTTTGACTCCATGATGACCAGCGCAGATCATCTAAAGAGAGCGAGAGAGTGTGTGTGTGTGAGAGAGAGAAGGTTTTTTTTTGTTAATGAGCACGGGACTCATTTGTCTCTCTTTGGGAGGCCGTGCTGTCTCAGATGAGAGTGATGGAGCTCTATTACACTGGTCATATCCAACACACTGTAATGAACTTCAACATCAATCATTACAGGAGAGAGCGAAAGACCACGGTGGGTCTCTCTCTCGTTCAAGGGTTGAGTCTCATTCAGTCACTACAGTCACGCTCATCATCAGACTGCTGTGAATGAAGGTAAACTATATTCACATTTATGCATATCCCAGATGCTTTTATCCAACTTGCATTGCATTCAAGACACGTTTAATCGGTGCACGCGTTCCCTGGGAATCGAACCCATGACCTTGGTTTTGCTAGCATGCTTCTGTTTGAGCTAGAACAATAATATGTACAAGATATTTATAGGTTTATTCATACATTTAATGTATAGGTGCTGACTTGTAATTTAAATTAAAGTCTTATATGGAATAAGCTCAAATATGTTCTGAACACGCGAGGAATTTAGTGGCAATGACGGCTGTTTTTGGTCTCGACCCTGATTAATCTGCCTTTTACTAATGAAAATTAGCAAATGGAGACAAAAATGTATAAGTGCGGCTGAAAGGGAATGTCCTTGATATTGAAGTGAATGGAACGGTCTTTAAATGCTGCTAACTTTTTGAAAGACATGGGTAACTTAACCAAAATAGTTGGTTTTAGCACAGAAGAAAAAAACATTTAAAACCATAGGGAAGACTATAGTTATAACCAGAAAACCAGTTTCGGCCGGTTTAAGAGATGATGTCTCAGAAAGTCTTAGGAATGATAAAAGTATCTGCATCTAAATGACTGTTTGTGCGCATGTATGTAATACAGGACTCACCTGCAAACTGGAATGATTGACAGAGTGGTAACCATAGCAACAGGTTGTTGTCTCATGGCTGCAATAAACCTTGACTTCTTTTGGCCAAAGTAACATTAGCAACTGCATATTACTGTCCATCATGTTTTCATTATGCTGATCTCCGGAGCATCAAGAAGCAGAACTGACAACTGTGTTCTGCAATACAGAATGAGATACATTTATGCATTTGTCATGTGCTTTTAACTCAAAGTGACTTACACCACATTGAAGGTATACGTGTATTTTTAAATCAGATCATGCATTCCCTGGGAATCAAACCTATGACTTGGGCATTGTTCTATGCTTGCAATGACTTGCATGGCTCGAAACGGCAACAGGATGCCAAGTGTAACGGACCATGATGTATGACACACCAGCAATGTTTTCTCTCATAAGTGCTAATAGGGAGGACGAAAGCAACGCTGAGATGTGAAGACACTGACCTCCTGAAAGAATCCAGCATAACCTGTTGCAAAGCTCATGCACTGTTTAAAAAAAAACAAAAAAACATTTTCAGTATCAACTTGGATGTTTAAGTCATTTCAACTTAAATTACATGAAACCAATTAAATCAAATTAGATGAATCTGACAAATTGCTATGTAAAAACATCTTTTCATAACTTATTGATCATATAATTTTTTATAGTGTGTCCACATTCAGACCTTATTTTTTTTAATTGATGAAACAAGCTCACTTCAAGTCGACATGAAACTGAAGTTGCGATAGTTATCTAGTCCTATTGTGACGTATATCCATGGCTGGTCGAACAAGAAATAATGTGCGGGAAGGAATTTGTTCATGTGGAATTGTTTGGATGGTTGTGGTTTGCTATTGGTCGCTCTCATGTGAGTGACAGGTTGCCCCGCCTTCACACCCGTAAACATTGCAAGAGCAAATAAGAGAAGTTATTTTGATTAAAGAGGCACATGAATTAAAAAAATAATAATTACGTGCTCTGATAAATCATTTAAATAATAAATACTGCAAAAAACAAACAAAGAAGAATTGTCGATTTTGATTTCATGGCTTTAAAGTGCTAAACACAAAAACAATCCCATAAATTATGTGCACAGAAAACAATCTAATAAACTAATGAGGAATCTCTGAACTTTCTTGACTTGTATTGTCAGCATGTCGCTGTGACATGAGTGTGCAAGTTAATTGCTTCAGCCTCCAGTAACCGCTAGTGGTAAATGCCTATGAGCTGTTGCATTTACATATCCCCTCATTTAGACACTCTGCTAATTAGCATTCTCATTATGCCAATTATACTAGCTTTAATTATTATAGTATCACTACAAAAAAAAAAAAAAAAATATGAATCACAAACCAAATAGCCTACAGAGATATTCCACAAGGTGCTGTTCCGAGGATGCGGTGATGGGAATACCAGCACAGCTTGTCAAGAGCGGAACACTCTCATTATGACAATCAGATTAATAGTTTAATTGATATCCGAGCATTTGTTTCATTAACGGATCGTTAGGAAGCGCAAGGTACCGGCTATTGCCGCTCCTCGGCGTGCCGTTCTCTTCTCCGGAAGTCTTCAAGAGGAGGGACGGGGAGCGCGAGGCCTGAATCCTGGGGAGTGTCTGTGGACGCCCACGCCGCTGATGTATGGGCAGATGCATCAAATCACACAGGATAAACAAGCGATGAATTTCATCAGTGCCATCATAGCCTTAATTTGGCTGCCTAATGAGTCAGAGCTAGTGGCGGAGATAAAAGTTGTCAGAGGCGCGGCTCTAATGAATTTCTTGCCACTTGTAATCAAGGTTGGCTGTCTGAGGGTCCATGATTAATGGAACCCTGGAGGATTCCCTCGGCCTTCAGCTCTCATTACAGCTAATGCATTCTCAGGCAAATTAACACACTGAGAGCGAGAGAGAGACACCGAGAATCCAAACAAGGACGGGAGAGAAAGAAAGAAAGAACAAGTGATAAGCGCAAGACTGAGAGAATGCGAGGACAGAAAACATAAAATGACAATTAAACAGCCTATGAAACTGAAATGGACCTTTTTTCTGTCTTTTAGTCAATGCCTGTTAGCGCTATGCTACGCATCTATATGCTAATATGTAAACATAATTAGCCTGCTTCGTCACAAATACGCATGTTAAATTAGTCTTGCTCTTCTAAGAAAAAATAAAATAAAAATACTGATGGCATCATTAAACATCCGGGTTTTTAAGTTGAAGGGTTTGGGTAAATGCATTAGTCTGTGTTTATCTCAAAGGCTTAAGATATTTTCAGCATAAAAAAACATAATTACGTTGGACATCACGGAAGATAGCATCACCTTGGTTTCCTCAACCAAAAAGGATCGTTTGGATTAGTATTTCAGAAAATATGAGTTTGACTAACAAAAGCTGATTCTTACACTTTTATTCATCATGAGAATCTTCAGAAATGCTTAGACTACAATGTTTAAAGCGTAAACACAATCAGCAGAAGTCAAAAGCTAAACAAACGAACTAAACCCTGGTCACATGACTTCAGTCTCACCATCACTAGCTTTCACAATCTTTCAGTCTCAGTTTAAAGCTACACTGTGTAACTCTTAGTTTATTCTTAGCTAAAAACAAAAATATATGTGCTCATTAATGTATATTTACTTCGTTCAAGTAATAAAGTATTCTCGTGAGTGTTAATATGCCATTGAAAATACATACGGGTAAGGAGGTCGCCATGTTGCCCCTCCATCTTGAAAGTACATTAGCCAAAGAGGGACATACCCATTAATTCAAGCTTCACCTTTCGTGTTTACTCATGGAAGAGGTTGAACTGGAAGCCATGTGAATCTTCAACTACATTGGCCACCGTATGAGTTAAAACGAAATAGGAATTGAGAGGAACAGAAACTAATATTTCACTGGATGGTCATATACATTTTCACCACTAGATGGGGGTAAAAATCACACAAACATTTCCCTTAAAGTTTGAGTTAAAATAGTTTGCAAGAGGATGATTATAAACACAAGGCTGTGGAAGCAAACTAGCGACTAGAAGAGTTTACCTGTTTGGCTAATGATGTTGAGAGCCTAGTCCCTATAGCCACTTGCTAGCAACTGCCTTTTACAAGACAGTTAAAAGTTATATAAAAAGAAAAAAAACAGAGGGTATTACTGGTGTTTTTATATCACAGAATAAAACATGAAAATATCTTGAGCTTGTGTTCACAACAGACCGTATTTAA